CACACACACACACACACACACACACACACACACACACACACACACAGATGAGCAAGTATGTATCTATCTGTATATTTGCTATGCCCTCCTTTTTTCCTAGTGTGAACTGGTTAAGCCAGGACCCATGTGCCTCTCTCTTACAATCCTCCAAAAATGTGGAAAGCAGTTAGTAAGCATTTTTTCTAAAATAACTTCTACTTTTATGGAATAATCTTTTATCGTTCTTTCTTTTCTTCCATTTTCCATCTCTTCCTCTCTTCACCTCCTCTCTTTCCTCTCTCTTGCTTATCTCTCCTGTCCTTCTCTGCTTTGTCCAATCCCATTTCTCTCTCTTCCATCTTCAGGGTGGCATGACTTTTCTCTCTGACTCCTGATCACACTGCTTCTCTTGTGATAATCTGGGTGCAGATTATAACAAGCAAGAGTCCTTTTCAATGTCATCTTCTTATCTATGAAGATTACGCAGCTTGGTGGTTCTGGAGACTCACGCATTCTACAAGGCACTGCGTGAACCAGTTTTTCTGGATAACTGAACAGGATTCCAAATACAACTGTCCAAATGGAGCACTGTTCTTAAGCTCCTGCTCAGAGAGTGGGTGGGAACAGAGCTCTAATCCATGCTTCTCTTCCCATGCCATGTGCCCTGGGCCAGGCTGCACTACGTGAAGGAAAAGGCGTGCTTCTATAATTCAGTGACTAAGCATAGCTCAGTCTGAGTGACCATTAAGTAGGCACAGGTTGACCCTGCACAACTGCTTCCTGTACCACATCCACTCAGGTTAAATTTACTTGTTTATTTATTGTTTGGTTGGTTGGTTGGCTTTTGAGAGAGGGTCTTTCTATGTATTCCAGGCTGGCTCTGAACCTATACTCATCCTCCAACCTTGGCCACCTGAGGGCTGAGATTACAGGTGTGTACCACCATGCCCAGCTTGATGCAGGCTGTTTAAATCTACGTCTCAGAATGAACCTCCCATGCTTTACTCCCCAGTTTCCTATTAAGGGCAAGTTGGTGGCATTACAGCATGCCACTGTGAATCCACTCCACCCCATTTCTTCATAACTTAATTTGCTTCTCTACAGAAACAGTGGAATCAACAATGATTGTAAGAGTTCAATCATAATTGCCTATTAGATGGACTGCAATTGTAAAAGAATAAGTTATGGAAATTCTTCTCTATGTAATGTTACTTCAGCATAAAAACAATAATCCCAATAAGAATTTGTTTTTTGGAAGGCTCATATAACT